ACTGAGTGGTGCTGTTGTACGCATAGGTGACAAATGATAGTATGTGGTCCCAGTTGGTGTGGTCAGCAGATACATACATGGACAGCATGTCGCCTAATGTGCGATTGAAGCGTTCAGTCATGTAATTGTTTTTAGGGATGGTACACACTGGTCGTTCAATGAACAACATTGCATTCACGCAGGAGGTCTTGTACGGCTTGTGAGAGGAACGTACGTCCGCTGTCGCTGAGTAACTCGCGAGGAGCGCCGTAGCGAAGAACAAGTTTGTGAAGAATAAATAAGCCGACTTCACGTGATGTAGCCTCTGGAAGCGCGGCAGTCTCAGAATACCGTGTCAAATGATCAAAAGCGACAACCACCCAGCGATTACCGCCAGGTGTGTATGGAAGTGGGCCGTATAAGTTGATTCCGATGCAATCGAAAGGTCGGGATGGGCAGGGCAACAGCTGAAGCGATCCAGTGACGGCATGTGGTGAACTCTTCCGGCGTTGACATTTTGAGCATGAACGCACTGTATTGGCGGACAAATCGGTACATTCTGTGCCAGTAGTACCGCAGCTGAAGGCGTGCATACATCTTTATTACACCAGCGTGGCGGCATTGGGGGTCCGCATGAAACGAGGCACAAATATCAGCAGGTAGATGGCGAGGAATCACCAACAACCACTTGCGACCTTCACTGAGGTAATTGCGGCGGTAAAGTAGCCCATCGCACATGGTGAAATGGCGGGCTGTGCGCCGCAGCGAGCGACTGGTGGCACTCGGTGATGGCTTTGATAGGAACTTCATTAAAGACACTATCCAAGGGTCTTGACGCTGCTCGGATGGCATGTCAGCGTGTGTGAGGGAGGCAGTATCCTAGGTAGAAACAGGCGCATTCGCACAGTCATGGGGAAGCGGAGATCGAGAGAGAGCGTCAGGCATCTGAATGTCTGCGCCCTGACCTGTAGACGACGCGGATGTCGTAGTCTTGGAGTCGTAACACCCAACGGGCTAGGCGACCAGATGGGTCTTTTAGAGACGACAACATGCAGAGGGCGTGATGGTCAGTCACGACATCAAATGTCCGACCATATATGTAAGTTCTAAATTTAGTGATTGTCCAAACGATGGCTAGACATTCTTTCTCCGTGACCGAATAATTTTCTTCAGCTCTGGTCAGAGTGCGACTCGCGTAAGAAATGACGTACTCATCGAAGCTAGACTTTCGCTGCGCAAAGATAGCGCCAAGGCCGACTCCACTAGCGTCCGTGTGGATTTCGGTAGGGGCGTCTGGGTCGAAGTGATGGAGAATCGGCGGCGATGTTAGAAGATGCCGTAATTTCGCAAATGTGTCGTCACAGGTGGACGACCATGCCGAGATACATGCTGTCGGCAAGTAGGCGTGTTAATGGGATCATTATAGGTGCGAAGTTACGAATAAATCGTCGAAAATACGAGCATAGCCCTATAAAGCTACAGAGTTCTTTCAGTGTCGACGGCTTAGGAAACTCGGTGACCACGCGGGGCTTGTCTGGGTCTGGTAGAACGCCGTCCTTGCTGACAACGTGCGATAAGATTACGAGCTTCCGTGCCGCGAAGTGACATTTCTTCAAATTTATTTGTAGCCCAGCCTGTGCGGGGCATTCCAGGACACTTGCGAAGTGCTGGAGACGGGTATCGAAGTCTTTTGAAAAAACTATGACGTCGTCCAGATAGCAAAGGCACGTATGCCACTTGAGACCTCGAAGTATGTTGTCCATAAAACGCTCGAATGAGGCCGGGGCATTGCAAAGGTCGAACGGCATCACGTTGAACTCGTACAAGCCGTCAGGAGTTACGAATACAGTTTTGGGGCGGTCGGCTTCATCCATAGGTACCTGCCAGTACCCTGACCGAAGATCCGGCAAAGAGAAAAACTCCGCTCCTTGCAAACGGTCGAGCACGTCATCAATTTTGGGGAGCGGATAGACATCTTTGCGGGTGATTTTGTTAAGACACCTATAATCAACACAGAAGTGGATGCTACCGTCTTTTTTTAACGAGCACCACCGAAATGCCCAGGGACTGTGGGACGGCTGTATGACTCCCCGACTAAGCATGTCAGTCACCTGGTCTTTAATAACCCGACGTTCAGCTTGAGAGACGCGGTATGGACGCTGGCGCAGGGGTGCATGGCTGCCAGTGTCTATATGATGAACGATCGAAGTTGTTTTGCCCAAACTGGGTTGCTTGTAATCGAAAGACATCCGAAAGCAGCCGAAAAGCTTCAAGAGTTGGGTCCGCTGAACGATGGGAAGGTCCGAAGCAATGGATGGAAGGAAGGCATCTGGGGTAGATGTGTTGGCCGTGGTATCAAGATTAAAGCTCGCGACATGGAGGCTCGCTGTGCGACCAGGTAGTGAGTTAGGGCAGACTGAATCAATGTCCTCAAGTTGCCCTCTACATTCTCCGCGGAACATAGTGGTTGGGACCGAAAGCAGGTTCATGACATAAATGGTTGCGGTGGAGTTTTCGATCGTGATAAGAGAAAATGGGAGAAGAAAGTGCTTACGGGAAGTGAATTTCGCTGACGGCATAAACAAGGCGGTAGAGAAAGCATAGTCACAGGAGATTAGCACAATATCAGACTGACATAGGTGGGATGTCCATGTCCTCGGCGATGACGACACGAAAAAAAGATGACTTGGCAGGAGGGTTGTCCGAAAGTGCTGATAATTCAAGCTTGGCACCGGCACAATTGACAACGGCATGATGCATGGAAAGAAAGTCCCAGCCCAATATAATGTCATGCGGGCAGTGCGGAAAAACGATGAATTCAAGCACATACAAAACGTCCTGAATGAGTAGACGAGCTGTGCACGTGACAGAAGATTGTATGTGATGTGCGCTCGCTGTATGGAAAGAAACACCAGAAAGTGGAGTCGTAATCTTTTTCGACTTGCGGCACATTGCTTCGCTCAACACGGACACAGCAGCTCCAGTATCGACTAAGGCGGACACGGCAACACCTTCAATGAAGATTGGGATTTCGTTTGCAGGTTGGGAACGAGGCCTTGTAGATTTCGACTGTGGCACAGTTCTTGCCTCGGGAACTGCGGTGGTCAGTTTTCTGTGTGGACAGGCGCGGTGCGTCGAAGCATTGGCGATAGCGAGCGCCGGCACGAAGAGGGTGATCGAGACGAGTGGGTGGTGCGGCGGTTCGACGATAAGGTGTTTGAAGGAGCGTGGGAGGGCATTGGCTGTTGCGACTCTGTATGGTCGTAGCTGTAATTGGCTTCAACGGCAGTTGGACGAGGAACGCGGCGGCGGCAGAAACGCTCGACATGCCTCGGCAGACTACACTAATAGCATATTGGTCGGTTGTCCAGTGTGTGCCAAGGATTATTGGGAAGGGTGGCAGGACGTCGATAAAGCGGAACTTGCGAGCTTGGCGGCACCCACGGTGCATAGAAGACATGACGGCGTTGAGGAGAGCCGATGCTGTATGGCACTGCATGTGAAGGCCTTCTCGCGACGTCGGCATAGCAACGGCTCTGATACAGGCGGTGGCTGGTGCATAGGCAGAAGAGCTTTGGATACTTGCTCTTCAATGGTTTGGCACAGTGACGAGGGGAGTCCATGACTATTACTAGGGAGAAAAGAAGCAATAGACAATTGGCGGGCAACCTCCTCGCGGATGAACTGTTGTATTTAGTGCATCAATACTACCGGATGTGGAGAGATCGCGCCAACAGCCAGTGCCGACGTGCTGGTCGTGTCGAAACTGTGACATTGCGTGGAAATGCGCTGCTTTCGCAACTCGTCGTAGCTCTGGCAGTGCTGAATGATGTCTGTGACTGTTCGAGGACTTTTCGCCACAAGCATGTGGAACGAATCGTCCTCGATGCCCTTCATGATATGCTTGACTTTGTCAGCTTCGGACATGGTCGGATTAAAGCGCCGGCAGAGGCCTACGACGTCCTCAATGTAAGACGTAAAACTTTCTCCTGCCAACTGGACACGATCACGCAATCGCTGCTCCACGCGGAGCTTGCACACTGCCGGTCGGTTGAAAACGTCTGCGAAGGTCGTTTTGAAAGAGGCCCAGGTGGTAATTTCAGCCTCATGGTTGTTCAGCCAAAGCTCCGCGACACCTCTCAGGTAGAAGTGGATGCGACCGAGTTTGTCGTTATCGTCCCACCGGTTGTTGACACTGACTTTTTCAAACAAAGCGAGCCCGTCCTCGACGTCCTGTTCATCAGTGTCGTTGAATAGGACTGGGTGGCACTCCCTCGGAATACCGGGGCAGCGGAAAGCGGCGGGTGCGGCAGCATTCGGCTGTGATGCAACGTCGTCAGGCATGATGGACGGCGGAGGTAGAGTCCTGCTACGGAGTTCCAGGATGAAAAAGAGAACCAGCACTCTCCACCATTTAGTAGTATGCATTGAGCGTTGAGTCCGCGACCCGTCTATTAATAAACGAACACAGGTCAAGCGCTCAGCGATCCGAATCGGAGCTATCATGAGCACGAACCATGGTCCTCTTCCTCGTCTTTTGCAGACACTGCTAATTGCACCCTATCCATTCTACAATACACATATATATATATATATATATATATATATATATATATATATATATATATATATATATATATATATATATATTGTCTTTGGGTTCATTCAAGCAAAGCGACATTTGTATAGTTTGCTAGACGTACATTGGAGTGGGCTTACAAATAAAATCAATAAATGTAGCTTGTGATATACGATATTCTATGCCTTTTTTTTTATGGAGCATGTGTTGTTTCAGAGTGGAGCACAGTTATGTGGATAATCACACCTCAAAGTGGCCTCTTCTTGCACCTTCTTCTATAACCTCCTTTCCTTTCACAAATTTAAGACAATCTCCTTTGCGAGCAGCCAGACTAAGTAACTTCCCAAATCTAAATTTACTCTTTCCTTGTAACCTCCAGTCAACACACTCCCACCAACCTAGATCCTCCTTCTCTTTCAAGAAAACCTGTTGACTACTCACTTTTCACGGCATGTTGGTTTCATGATAACGAGACACGTGCAGCACGAGGTCCTGATTCCGTGAGAACGATGCACTGCAGTAGTCACAGGAAAAAGGACGCGTCCCTGTGTGGTTGCGCATGTGTCTCACAAGAGACATTTTCTGCGAGAATGATGCACGGCATTGGTCGCAGGAAAATGGACGCTCTCTTGAGTGGGTACGCATGTGGTTTATGAGGTGGGATTTTCGCAAAAATGATGTGTTGCATACATCACAGGAATAGGGACGCTCTCCTGTGTGGGTGTGAATGTGTTTCAAGAGATTTGACCTTTCTGAGAACGATGCACTGCATACGTCACAGGAATAGGGACGCTCTCCTGTGTGCGTGCGAATATGTCCTGCGAGATGACTGTCCCGAAAGAATGCAGCTGGACACAAGTGGCACTGGAAGGGCCGCTCGCCGGTGTGTCTGCGAAGGTGTGTTCGCATGTTTGCACTGTTCTTGGTCGCATAGGTGCACTGTCGGCAGGAATGCAGTCCACCTTGGACGGACACGAGTGCATGGTACCGCTCACGGGACACCGAAGACAAAGAACCTGCAAAGCCACAGGAAATACAGAAAACAAAGAAAACCATGTCACACAGATTTTCTGCAAATAGATTAACGCACCAGGCAATGACAAATGGTTGCTGCCCTTGTAAATGAAGCATACTATGCAAACCACATGTTACTGTAGTAGTGAGCATGCAGTGACACAGCATGTTTTACAAAAGTTGACATTTCTCTCGTCAAGTATTCAATTTACCCCTTTGTAGATTGGCCTATTTATTTGTACCGATAATGTAAAGATCGGCTGTGGTATAGAAATATATACTACAAAAAAATGGTGAAAGACGAATTTCATTAAAGTCAAGCCATTAGTTTATTGCAAGAAAACTCATGGGAGTGATTCGAAAAGGAGCTAAACACTGTCATACTGTCTCATTAAGGCCCCACCTTGCGATTGCATCAATGGGTATTTGGGATGAAACAGCCAAAACAAGTTGCACATGTTATCACTTTTCGAGTTGTGCTGAAGAAAGTAGTGCGAACCTCATTTCAGCAGGAGAACACCACCTGCACCTTTTGTGAGCCTTCATGATGCGGTGGTCTATCCTGTAAAGCTTACTTCACTGCAGGTGCCCACCAGTTCTTTTTTTTTTTTTTTTTTGTCCGTTGTAAGGACACTGTTTTTGCTTTCAAAATTATCAACGACAGTTGTTCTCCCTGAATATGTGCAAACGTTTCAAGTGGTACAGGTTATGAAGCAAAATATTTCCATGCACCAATATCCACAGTGGCGCTGACGATTGAGCAAGGTGATTTAGCAGCGAATTGTCGATGCATTAATCGTTCAAGTTATTGCGCATTATTACAACACATGATGACTGGAAGCTAAAGTCACCACTACGAAAACAGGACAAAGAGGCAGGTCTAGAGGAAAAAAAAGTTCAGAAGCGATTAAAAAATTTACCGAAATCAGCACCAATGTAACACTAATCTCGCCCTTTGAAAACACGGTAAAAAATTTTCTATATTATTACAAAGGCTTAGGTAAGATATGAGTGACTTAGCATTTCCTTAATTACAGCGGGTGATGTTGGCGAAAGATTTTCCTGCAGACAGAAAAGTGAGATCTAGATGTTCAGTCACACAAAGTTAACACAAGCAAAACATTCTGTGAATGCACAGGAGCCTTAACGAAATGCAAATCTCATACTATGCCTAAATAGCCAACTTTTTTTGTATTATATCGATACATTAAGTGCCAGCACATTAAAGTATTCATGGTACTTTTTTTTCTAGGACGATGCTGTACAGCCACTCAGTTCATATTTCTACACATCAAACACAGGAAACAAAATATGAACGAAAGAAGTTCATACAAAACAATCTGAAGAATAGCAAAATATCATGAGAAAGGAGTCATAAGGCATAACAGTTTTTGGTGGTCAACATTGATGGTGCATTTATGTAAACTGCATAGTGTACTAGCGCAATGTAATGTGTATACTAGCACCATTCATACACTTTCCATTAAGGTCTCCATCCTTTTTGACTGAAAACATAGCGATACTATACAATACAAACTGAGATACTCAACACATATTGTTTCAGACACTTACAAGACCACACACACATGTAGATACCTCACCTCATCACAATGTATAACTAACTACACTGAATCAAGACAATCGCAACAAATTTTTCCACACTGAGAAAGCCAGATAAGCTAACATGCTACTGTGGATATATTATGAAACAATCCATTAACCTTGATGCACTAAGTATTTATAGGCACCAATTCAGAAGAAAGCTAATTTATAGGAAAAAGAATGATTAAATTAGGAACGCTACAAAGTTGAGTGACGGAAGAGAATAGTGGCACATTCGGGCAAATTTCGGTCACTAAAAGGCACAGTGAAAAAAATAAAGTGTGTTTACATTATTTCAAGATTCCCTTGAGCAGTATACAGAGACATATTTAAAGATTTTACACCAAAAATGACAACAAAGTAACACCAGACAGCTGCTGCTGGCTTATAGTATTAATGTTTTTCATATATTGCAGTGCAAAATCAAGGTGCCACTAACAAGCATGGCAGTTATTCAGTTACCAAGCCGTTTCTCTTAGTACGTACAAATGTGTAGAGACATGAATTGAAGCGACTGTCTACTGTCATTCAATGCTCTCCTGTTTTGTGTCGCAATAAAATGTGTACCAAGTCAATTGTCTAAACCTTGCAGGGGTTTCTCTAAAAAGTGCATAGAAATTTTTAAAACAGAATACTTGTGTACGCGCTATGTCTCCTTCCATCGGTGGGATGAATGCCCTTAACACTGGTCGGTGCCGGTGAAAGTCGAAAACTGAAACCACGTGTGGTCTTTGCAGGCTTCATCAAGTTTGGTTATTATAAAACAAAAACCTTAGTGGTTGTTTTAGGCACCCCCGAACTTTTTTGTTGTTCTCATGAGTGGTGGTGGATGACGACGTGGTCGCGTTTCTCCACTGTTTGCAGGCAGGCATGCAGGCAAGCGAACACACCGCCAGCAGCACGATTGAACGTCTATTTGAACACATGCAAAAAAAATGCGAAAATTGGTCTCTGGCAGAACTTAAAGCTGCCTCAAGTGCATAAAATGCAACTTCAAGGTAAATGTGTTTGTTTTTAAGCAAAATAAGTCTACCTGCGAGGATTTCTTCTCCTACCAATAGATTGTCAAAATTGACCACATTCGCTGTTGGTGTCGCTAGGGGTCACTTCATCGACTTTCAACATCAAATTAAAATTCTGATTTTTTTCTGGCACGAAAGTATGCTCGTCGCTGCTGATGTGATGAGCACCCTTTTCATTTGTGCCACAATCAAAACAATTTTTCTGTATGGTAGACAGTCCCTTTTATCAATACCTAACTTCAACCAGAGCTTTGTAAGAGAGACAATTTCTTTACTCTGACTGAGACACCCACACTGCACCGAACTGTATTACGGCTCTTCCCAATTTCAGATGGCTAACTCTATAGAAAGTCTATCTTCAACTTCACTCGTGTATTACATAATTGAATCTTTAGCAGAAATGTATCAACACGGTCACATCACCATTTCAATTTACTGTTCATTGCGTATTAACTTCAGAGTAAAATAGTGTGTGATTTGTAAGAAGAGGCTTGTTGAACGCATTTCTGGAAAAGTCCAAAGCATACAGCATCTCTGTTTCTTCTTTGGAAGAGTGGACACATCTGAAACAGCACAAAAACTGCAGTTAAGACTAGTACAAACAACACAGTAAGCTTATGTATATTTTTACCTATTGCATCAATAAGCTTGACGGTTAAAAAACTCCTTAATAAATTACACTTTTAATATAGACATTTAGTGACCACTTTTGCAGTAACTACAGAGGGTGATACAAATTTGAGTACTGTATATTTAAGAGAAATATGAAAACGAACAATTGATTACTAGAGCATATAACATGTGAAAGACAAATATGCACAGTGAATCAAACTAGCACAAAGAGAATCTGTTTTCTCATTTTTAGCCCACTATATATGAGTAGATTATAATAAATAAAGTTTCTGGAAGCCAAACAGATACTTGTCATTACCTGTTGACGTCATCAACTATAGATTCCAGAAAACTGAATGTGTAGAATGTTTATTTTGCACATTGCAAGACGTTTTGGGAGATGTCTTTCTCGAGCCTTGTATAAATAATAAAGAGCTGGACTTTAAAGCGAACACAAATGCGGGACCTAAGTCTGCAAATAAATACAACTGTATGCAATATGCTCACTACAATACTGTTTCTCTTTTCAATGGAAACACGGAAGGAGTTTTCAGAGTTGTTACTCATAAAAAAGGAAGGAACCGCAGAAATTTTCAAAACGATGTGTCAGTAAATAAGCAGCACAGAGCTGCAAAGAATTAACTCACTGAGAAACAGGCCAGATATTTCTGCATGCTGGAATGCAAAGAAAATGTATTACATTTCACTGGTTTTCCTTTGTAGTAGAACCTAATGATGAAAAGGCTACAATGGCCATTGAGCAACAAGGAATGTAAAATGCAGATGCATTAGTGTGACGAGTGATCGTGGCCAAATCTCATGCGACTGCTAAGGGCCAAGAACCAGGTGCACTAAAAATGCAGAATATATATATATAATTAAAAAGTTATAATAACATATATGCACTGCACGTGAACATGTACTTTTAATGAACAAAAAGTATTGATACTTGCGTTCGTATAAAACCAGCAATCATTTTTACACCATGATAGAATTCATTACTTCCCAAGTTAGTACATAAATTTAATCTACCTGCTGTATGATTGTAGTAGAGCTATCCTGAGCAGTGATGATCTCATGTAAAAAAGAAATCGGGCACATTAAACCCAAGTAAATCAAGGGCTACAAACATATCTATTGGTTTCACATAAGCGGCCCAATGATGGTACAGACCAAGAACCCAATTACACAACCAAAATACAAGCCAATATAAAAATACTTGCTGCTTTCAATATCTCATTCACTCTGCAACCTATGATACAGAGCGTGACAAACAGACTATTTCAGATCTTAGCACAACACAACGATCTAGTGAGGCTTGTTTCTTTGAGCGGCAGCTGCTGCACGAGTATCTTCCATACAGACACGACCCAGCACTAACGATATTATTATTTAAAATACTTCTAAATACAGTAATCTAATTCTTCTCGATATCTTTCTCAACTATTCTTGCATAAATTATAACTTCTAAATGAAAATGCAGTTTTTCCAAATTTTTAAAAAAAGCATTTTAGCCACTCTGCCTCAAACTACATAAGATAATCAATGAATGTTATAGAATCGCAATGTGTAAAAGGTGCTGCAAGGAATGATCTTGACAAGAATGGAACAATCTTGAATACAAGAGACAGTACACTTGAATCTAGCTAGAAAAGAAAACTACTGTTCGAATGCAGAAAAATTTAGCCTTTGCGCAGCACCTACTTCCCCTAGAATAACTGTATCTTCTCTACACAGCATAACGTTGAAAAAAAGCAATTATATGT